CGCGAACTTTATCGATAAGTTATTTTAGTCATATAATTGGTGTAATATCTTTAATTATTTGGTTAAATACTGTGCATCAGTATTACCGATATCTAGTGCCTAGTTTTTATATAGTATCCAAGTACATTTCGGGAATATTTAGATTAAACACTGCCGAGTAAGTATTATCTTAATAGTGCAGTGGTGTTATTAAACTTCAATTTACTATCATTATTCTCAATCCACTCGCCTTTCGAATGGAGCTTTCATGATTTCTGTTTAAACAAAATGTCGTCATTTTCATTAGAAAAGAATCGCGCCCAATAAATGAACTGCCACTTCAAAATACTTCCAAAATACACGACATCTGCCATGCAATATGTTAATTATTTCTTAATCACTGCTTGCCAATTCAACACCCCCTGATCTTCCGCAGAATCAACCAGAAGAAGCAAAGCGTGCCTACCTAGCACAGCTGCACCGGCGCAAGGCACAGGGTGGAGCCGAAAACAGTCCTAGTAGCTCGAGTGAGGGAGGTCTGGAAGATGGGATCTCTTCAACTGCTGACCTCCTGGCTTACACCAAGAAACTCAAACTTTCCGAGGAAGACGCTAAAAAGGTATTTTCCCTTTATATTTTATATTTTTCCCTTATATTTTAACACTTACAGTATTGGTTATTACCGAATTCTATCCCGATACCTGGCACACCAAAATCTTCCTCTATAAATACAATTGTTTGACGTCAGTAGCTATATTAAAATGCCCGGTTTTGTATCATGATGGTTATTAAAATGCTCGGTTGTATGTCAAAGTGTGTGGGTGGGTGTCAGGTAGTTCCACTTCAATTCTCACTAACAGGGCCCTGTTTCTACCACGACCCCTGTAAACTGTGGCCCTGTTTCTACCACGACCCCTGTAAACTGTGGCCCTGTTTCTACCACGACCCCTGTAAACTGTGGCCCTGTTTCTACCACGACCCCTGTAAACTGTGGCCCTGTTTCTACCACGACCCCTGTAAACTGTGGCCCTGTTTCTACCACGACCCCTGTAAACTGTGGCCCTGTTTCTACCACGACAGTATGACCCCTATAAATGGCTGGTCTTCTTAGGAGTAGTTATATATTACAAGAAGCGAGCTCTCAGACGAATGAACATGCTCATTCTGCCGAACTCCGCTTTATGCAGCATACAATTAAAATATGCTGACACATCATATTATGCTTACATTTTGTTTTTGTTGGTTTTAAGTTTCGGGTTGAATCCACGCGTTAGCGTGGTGGCCACTGGTCATTCATCAAGCTGTACTGTTTTAGCGTGATCAGCACAGTGGAGTTGGGCTTCAAATAACCATCTTAATGAGTGACCAGGTAATTTGATAGATGGACCTAGTGTTTGTGACAGAGGATGGAGTTTGATTTCTCCCGCTTGAAACAGAGGCTCCGGCTTCGGCTTGTGAACTAAACCCGGCTAAACCGTCGGTTAAAGCTCACAGTCATGGTACATCACGTAAAGTGGCGCCGTATTCGCATAAGATTGCAGCCACCCAAGGTGGTCCACATATATGTAATATGTATGGAGGTTGCCTTGTGAACTTAAGAGGCAAGTCAGAATGCGATCGTCAAATAAGCTGACAAGTGACAATCTATTAGGGCCAGGTTGATCAACAGCTTAAACTTAGTGCAGGGGTATAGGGATAAGAACCACAGATCAACCAGCGTCAATAGCCAACCAAACGGTTTAATCTCCCTTCTTGACTGGACAGAGTCAACCCAAATTTCAAATCACCTCCCATGTCATTAATGGCGAAAATTGAAGGCGAAACACATCATATTATATGCTTACATATCATATTATTATGCTTACTATCATATTATGCTTACACATATATATAGTGACAGTTTATATTGGATTTGCTCCATTGCACTAGTTGGAGACCCCCTGTTTACGGAGAAATAACTTGTCGTCCTAAGTTGCTGGTGTTCTGGTTTAAGTGACCGTCCAAGTTGTGTTACATTACTTTACCCGCACTTACTTCCTCAGTTCGGACTAATTTCAGTGAACATTTCGTCAGGTTCATTTGACGTAGTTTGAGTTAGTTAGAGCCTTTCTTTCTCACTTGGCATACATTTCGGACGGCAGAATTTTAGGATAAAGTAGGTTTACACGGTAAAAGGCTTAATTGGACGGAAGATTTGGAGGCTTGTTCGTGAGAATTGGAGTCTCAACCTGGGTAGTGAGCATTGTCACATGATACGCTTGTAAATACGCTTGTTTATGGTCATTTTCTAAGAAATTTACATTTCAGGCTTTTTAGTCCATTGAACAAATCTAGCATGTCTTGGTTGTAGCATCCCTCCACTCATAAGTACAGTGAGTACACCCAGGGTACAATGTAATCGACGAGTGTACTGGCCATTTGGTGGTTCGGTGTCCCTAAATTTGCTTACACTCGGTCACTTGTCAAGGCATGTTCAGGTCTTTCGGGTCTTATAATAACATGATATGGCCTATGGGTACTACTTTGTGTTACAATCTGAAAGTTTATTAATAAAAAAGCCAATATACAAGGAATTTACGTACGTGACTTTCTCGATTCCCAGCAGAAAAATCACTTAGCTGATTTCTCCCATACACCGATAAAGCCGATATCAATTCCAAAAATACCTTCTTTGTACACGCTGTACATTTTCAGCTGTTAAACGAGCAGGCCCAGGCAGGATCAGGGTTCAGCAAGAACGACTTCATAGCCAACATGTTACAGTTGCAGGCCCGTGAGAACGAGGTCCGCAAATCAGAACAACCTCCTGTGTCTGGAGCTATCGGTGAGTTAGGTATGTCTCTTGGTTACTGTTTTGGTTACTGTTTTGGTTACTGTTTTGGTTACTGTTTTGGTAACTTTTTAAGTGCGGTCAAATCATAATAATTTTCTCTAAAATTGGCATTTTTTGGAGTGTAGAAATCTTGGAAGATTCCTCTAAAAAGTATTCGGCTCCGAGCCCTGGCCTAGCTTGTAAAATTAGGAAATACGTACGAACCCGGCCCTAGCCTTATACGCCAACAAATGTACTTAACATGATCTGATATTATAATCACAAGTTTGCAACATTCATAAATGTTAAAGGCCTTTCCTAGCCTTTTCTCATTATCTTATCCGAGGCTAATTCGGCGGGCAACCAGCGATATACTTTAAAATAATATCAGTGATAAAATCTGAGAGTTACTATAAAATCTTAGTTGCAAAGGCAGTATTATTATCTTGGTATATTATTACTAATATAACCGAATATTAACAACAACCTTTTTAAAGCCTAGGTACCATGGTTCCCGTATTTACAACAACTTATTCCCAGGTGGTTTGTACCGTGCCGGATATGGAGTTCCCGAGTTTAGGAGTTATCCTGGACTTGTCTCTGACTGCGCACAAGACTTCCGCATGGAACAGCCCGGAACTGCATTCGATAAGATCCCTCTGGGAATGTCAGCACGTTCTATCGTGCAGCACCAGCCTCCCATGATGCACCCAGGCCCACAGCCCCACCAACTTGACCTGAGTAACGAGTTTTCCAGCGCCCCTGCAAACTCCCACCCCTTCTCGGCTAGCCGATACGATCCAGCCAACGCATGCACTCTGAACGAGGTGTTGCTAAACAGTGCACCGCCTAACGCGCACTTGCAGCAACAGCAGCAGCAGCAGCAACAACAACAGCAGCAGCAGCAACAACAACAACAGCAACAGCAACAACAGCAGCACCCTGGACCTCCCCTTCACGTGGGACCACCACAACTTGTTGGACAGCAACTGAAGGAGGACAACGATGCCCTGCTCATCAGAATACTATTGGAGCAACAGAAGGAAAAGGATGAGCGCCAGCGCAAGGAGCGTGTGCAGGAGCTGCTGCGGCGCCATTCACACCAGCGCTACCAGCAGATGCAGCAACAGAAATTGATGCAGTTGAGAGAGCAACATCAAGTAAACCAGATGTCCAACGAGGACCTGTTTTCTTTGTACAACAAACAACGCCAATTCTACCAGCAGGTAATATTGTCAAGTACTTTCGAGATCTCAATTAAATGTTCGTTAATTTTTGGTTTGTTTTTATCATTAAATGCTCCGATCCAGCTCATTGAAGCACTAAGTAGGTTACCGAGATACTGCCTAAACCCAGGAAAGAATAATGTAGTAAAAACTAGCGACACTCTAGCAGGTCTAGCTATGTTTAGAGCCGCAATAAAGATGTATCTCAAAATATATGTTTTGATCACGTGATATGTTCAATGCCCTAATATTTAACATACACAGGGCGCTGGAGGAAATGGGAGCACAGCAGGAGGCCCCCCACTTCCCGGCTCCGCGCTAGGACTACCCCCCACTCACTCCTCTGTACTGAACCTCTCATCCCCCAACTTCGGGGGTTCCAACCCCGGATTCAGTACGGGTGTTATCGGGTCCAGTGGGATGAACTCTGCGCCCAACCTTGGTGCTGGAAACGGTGTTAACCCTCAGATCGGTTCTAGTATCCTAAACAATGGCACCAATCTCAGCCGTCCCGCCAGCGCTGGCCACCTCTCTCCTGGTGCCCCTTCCTACGAGCTCTTCTCAACCAACAACATGTACAGAAACGGAGCTCCCCCGCCCGCACCATCTGCCAGCGAAATAGGCATGGATTTGCTGCGAGACGCCCAGAGCAGCGAGCAGGTGGCCGATCTCATAAAACACCTGAACCTGTAATGGGTGCGTGCGCAGACACGTGCTCTTGTGTGGCATGTGACTATCAACACTAATCCGTGATATGTGCTTTACATCATATCTTATCGAGAGCGAACGAAGGATACGGAGGACTATACACAAACCCTCATAACGAAAATTTATATGTATTTATGCTTGACAATAAAGAAAAAATCAAAAGTTCAAAGATTTATGATTAAAGCTAGTATATATAAATGGCGATGCAGGACGGCGACTAACCGGAATGTCGACTGAATGTCGACTGGAATGTCGACTTGACTCTTTTGCTGAAAAGATCCCCAACACAGTGTTAGTCTTCGACTGTGAGCCTAAATAGAGTGCTCAATGAAAATATAATCTATAGTTATATAATCACAACCGTCCATCTTAACAGTTCAAGAATTTCCGTGCATTTTTGCTGTCGAAAAAAATGCGTGAATATTCTCAAAAAAAAGAAGTCATTCATATTACAGTTTTATTGATATAATAATACGCGATGTAGTTAGTGGCTATGTTTGGTTACGTAACTCATTGAAACAGAATTATGTACGTCTTTCGAGTCACTTTAGAGCATATCTGGATCTCTATCTTTAAATTAAACCCCGGAACGGGCCTCCAACTATTGATTTGAACGAAAGCTCCAGAAAGAATGGGTGCTCCTTCCTCTTTACCACCTTGACACCTTTATTTACTCCTCCACAAAATAACCGCGTCGTGTCTGAGGTGGAAAGTGGCGGCAATGCACCCTTTCAGTTCTGATTATTCAACCAGACTTATTTCGAAGGATTCATCTTGCTTTCAGCTTTTGTTCTTAGTAGAATGTATCACCTAAATTATATATATATTCCTATCCGCTCTGCTGCAAATGGTCAAGTTTGTTATTTGCTTGCAGCAAATTAAGACATTTGGCTTACATAAACCATACTAATATATGACGTATTAGAGCATCTGTGCTAAATAAAAAGCTAAATATTTGAAAACGATGTATCGACATATTATGTCCTCATTAACTAATTAATTAATATTAATTACCGAATAACTGCAGAGAATATAATATTATATAATGAACCGTACTGCCTTTTTAAACCGTTCTGGTATGTCGATGCATCGGTTTCGCTACGATCACATGGATCCTCTTCATTTATTTAGGAAGTATCTCTATATATAAGACTTTTTCTAACGATAATTTATTTTACATGGTTCCTTCAGGTGTAATACTGTTAAAACTTAAATCCGTACATGGGTGATGGTGTTATTGGGACTACAGCAGTTCTTCCAGTTTTCTAGATATTAACGGCAACCTTTTAATTTAAAAACTGAATTTTCGAAAATTTATTTCCCATTTCTCAGAATCCAGCCCTTAAATTTCGTTATTTTTCGTTAAATTTCGTTATTTTTGCTCGGTTCTGAGAAATGTGTGATCAGCATCTTCTTAAAAACGTTTGACAAAACCACTCTTTTGGTGATCAACTCATAGGCACCCAAAAAGCTTCAGAAATATAAGAATTCAAAGTCATTACAGCAATGCTGTGACGATCACCACAACATCCTCTCTGTGACCCTAGGCAGATAACGATAACAGCACAATGCTCTCTGAGCTGAGTCTTCCTTTTCCAATAACAAAAACCTGCTAGATGTCAAGGTAACACCGTCACCCGTGCAATCTTTGAGAGATATAATGGTGTTGATTTGGTGATGAATTGTGAAAGTGTATGTTATAAGACTTTGTAATTGTTTTGTCACAGTGAAAACTATAAAATCGATCAGAAGGTAAAAAGTTGAAATCCGGTGCGCATGACGAATTGACCAACTTCCCCTCCTCAGTTGCGCTATATCACAAAGTTTATTTCCCCAAATTCGTCCGTTCCGGAAGTTTCAACTTTTTACAAAACTGGTCGAGTTGTCTCTATCTCAATTCTGTGGCATGATGTGGGCGCTTAATGGGCGACACCACATAGTGCGCTCAGATGGGTGCCACTGTTAAAGTTCGCTCAGATGGGTGCCACTGTTCATAGTGCGCTCAGATGGGTGCCACTGTTCATAGTGTGCTCTTTTACTTTGAGGTAGAAAAAAGATAACACAATATATATGGCATTGTATGTTCCCGATTATTAAATGAAATTAAAGAGGATTTTTGATATTTTTTCTACGAAAAAATAACTTGACTTTGTTTAAAAAGCTTAGGGCAAGAGTTTGTAGTAACATGAGGTGTGTTGTGTATTTTTAGCCATTTTCGTTGCCATGGTAACATCCAAGTGTTTTTCCATGGCAACGGGATATGTTAATTGTAATGGCTTAGCACACTCATATATATAGTATAATTATATACTACTGTTAATTTTTGATCAGGACCAAATTTATTTTTATATTTTGTGCGCTTTTAAGCTGCTATATAGCCCATGGTGATTTATCAAACAAAATCGAAAACATGATTCGCAGTTGGGATATCTTGTTATATTCGTCGCGGAGCAGTTTTAGTTTTTAGAATTCAAGCTAAACCAAGTTGATGATATAATGCTACATTAAATGAGAAGTTAGCTAAATGATGATAGCATCTTATTTACATTATAAGCAACCGTTGCAGCTTGTAGTACTGTACTTTATATCGAATAGCGTCATGATTACAGTACCCCGGCACTCGGAGAACAACATGTTGATTAAAACAGATTATGTTTTTTTTTTGCGTTTTGATGAAAGATTTGGAGAATTTGGGGGTCACGAGATATATAATGGATATAATGTGCCGATGATAATGCATACAAGCTTGTTCGAATCTTTCATTTTGATATGTTTGGGTGCGGTGTTTATTCATTTTAAAAAGCACTGGTCACTGATGGTGAAAATATTACTGATGATTTGAATACGTTTAATTGATGATTGAGACAGGATTTGCAGATGAGAATTTTGGTGAAATAAGCTTGTTTGCATGCTTGCTTGTTGACATTTTAAAATTGAAATCGACCCAACTCTTTATATTGGAAGAATAAATCTATGAAAAAACAATGGACCATGCAATAATTTATTGAATTTCATAGTTTGCTTTCTCAGCAATTACGATGAGCATAATATGATAATTTAGGACCATACTTTCATTTTATAGTTCTAAATTTAGATTTACTATTCAACACTGGTATGATTTATTTTCTGATAAAATATCCCCCAAAAGAAGCGTGTATTAAATGGATGTATGTGTGTATTAAATGTTACAGTTGCTCTTAAATTTCCGGCTTCGAGGATAAACCGGAAATACGTGCCACACTAGAATAATTGTGACAGGAAACTGTGTGCAGTAATCAGACCGAATATGCGGTCTTCGCATAATTAGATAAGTACACTCATAATCACGCCACCGCGGTGTACAGTGTATAGCCGGCCCGCGCCCGGAGCTCCATCCTATACAAACCGTATCGCAGGATCCACGAGTTTATCGGTCCTACTGCCCGGGTCTGTTCTTATTTTAGCTGGAAAGGGTCTACAGAGGAGCTTGTTTTTTCTTACTAACAGTGCTGTGGAAATCAATTACCATAACGCGCGCACGGACGTTTACACTTACAGTTGTGTGGAATTAAGCGTAAACTTTGCATGATAGTCGTGTACTATATTTAGTGATTTAAACAAGAGCATATCGATTGCAGAACTCTTAAATTTAACCAATACTACACGTCACCTGACGCATTAAACGGTAAAGTAGAGGTCGGAGTGCTCCATTTGGTTGTTACATCAGAGCAAATCTTGACAAATAACCCAGACTACGAACAAGGCTACAACCATATTTACGTTAGGACCTCTCCGCCGGAATAACTTTTCTGTGACGTAAAATGACGGTGACCAGCCAAAACGGACATTAAACCGGAGCCTACATTTTTTGACAGTTAATACTGTATTATTGTAACCGGGCCATAGCTCACCATAAAAGCTGCTTGTAGCTATTAATATATATATTATATATAAATGACATCAGAGTTCCCCAAATCACATATTTTATTTACCACTCAGTTTCCATAATGCCTGTCGAGCACAACTGGTACCCATAATTTCCCATTCTTAGATTAATACTATACAAAATTCCTGCCGCTATGAAAGGTTCACAAAGCTGAACAAAGTCAATTGTTCTTGATTTGGTTGGGCAATCAACTCGATACAAATTGAAACACAGATTCTATGAATGATCTTAGTGGCAAGACAATCAGTTTTCAAATCTTATAAAATATAAATCAACACTTTAAGTGGGGCAGCGACGTGAAATTGAAACCAATATGAATTAATTCAACGAATTTTGAGGACATTAATAGCATGTTTTAATTTGCCCTGTACAAACCCTTAAAATGTCACCACTGTGTAAATGCATTATATAATACTGATGAGTAAAAACTAGAATTATCGAGGACGGATGATACATCTATAAAATTTATCATACATATTGGGGTCGATCACATATTACGTAGTAATTTTTTGGACAATTCTTACCCTCGTCCGTAATCACTAATCAGTCCTACAAATAGCTATTGTATCAAAATTACACTAGCGTAATAATTTCGGCTGATTACGTAATATGTGAACGACCCCATTGTAAATTTCCAAAGATAGTGACGTCATAAATGTGTGCACAAGTGGTGGTGAAGCTTGAATAATGAATAGTTGAATGATAATAATGGGGATATTAGTGCACCAGGCACAATTTCATTTTACTCTGAGAGGAAAGGAGTGCAACGGATCATAAGAATTAGTCAAAATAAGTCTTTGAATCTTCTCCACACTTAACAATATTTGTCAGCTGCCATTTAATACCACTAAATTATCGTCTTACAAATACAAATCAATTAATTTTTAAATCGGTGTATCTACAGCTATAATAAAATGATAAAAATAATTGACGATAAAATTAATCAAGCCAAGTGAATTTGAAGTGAATCATTCTTTAAGTGGCCTAGCTGGATTTTAGGTCCAAGTTGTCATAAATTCTGGCGAAATAATTATAGTGAAGAAGCTAAAATTCAACTTGCGCTTATAAAATATCGCCCAAGAGATGAAATATACTGAACATGCAAGCATTAAAGAATACGCCTCCGTCCAGAACGTGAAGATTTAAGATGTGACACAATAATTTTAGCCAAGAACTCTATCTCTGACACTCAACACAAAATCAACTATTTTCTCAACTCAGTCAAGTTAAATGAACATAAATGTCTAGCTGCCCCCATTTGTAGTTCCATCTCCATGGTAATGCATCTTTCTCATGGCAGTAAGTCTTCTTCTCTCTTCTGTTAATTCGTTCTCCAGTTCTAGAATCTTCACTTGCATTTCCATGTCCAATCTCTTCACCTGAACACAAAGTTAAATCAAATATTTTGCTCGGTCCGAACATAATGGTATGTGTAGGATAAGCCAAACTCGGGTAGGAGGGGTTGGAAATGTAAACATCGCTCCCACACTCGATCACAAATGAGATCACAAAGTTAGGTCAGGTTGTTATCAACAACACCGATCATTCCTAAATTTAACATGAGTTTGTGGAGAGTCAAACTCGAAGCGTATGATGATTTCTCTCACAATGATCACCTCATCGTCTTGGGCGTGCTAAAATATCCCTTGAATACAATAATTATATGAAGTGGCGAATATTTAGTGACTGATGTTCAGTCATTATTGCTACACAGTCATTATTGCTACACAGTCACGATAATCATAGATCTGTCACATAGGTTAACATTATACCCAACTTTCAGTCAACAGTACGCGGAAGAAAGTTACCTGAACTGCAGATAGTTGGCTGTAATCCACGGCCACCAATTTGCTTTCTTCTGTCATCTTCATACACTGTTTTGAAGCAGCAACAACCGATGCTGTGGCGTTGGCAACAGACTTTGAAGTACCCATCACCTGAATTAAAATTCAATATTTACTTTAAGTAAGTAAGTAATAGCAGGGACCTCTGGGCTCTGTCCTCTGATTTCGAAGTCAGAGAAATTGTCAGATCAGTTCACCTACTCTAACTTGGCGCGCACCAACCGAAATTTAAAATAACAAGCGCGCGACAAGATAGCCACTTTTATCACACTAACGTCACGGCGCGTGCGGTCAAAAAACTCAAATTGAGGGACCGTCCAGGGTGTCACACCATATCATTCCACAACAATAAGCTGGCTAATAAGACATTCTGCATTGTATTTATAGTTATGGATTCTTGATTTACCTTGATAAAGTTACGACTGTCTTTATCCGCTTTGACTCTGGACGCTGCGACTAACTGGGCTGTACTGGCAGCAATCTCGTGAGAGGTTACCTGTAGACACAGCGAATTATATAATTTATTATAAATGACTTAATAACAGAACAATTGTCTAGTCGTTACATACATCTACTCGTAATACATTGCATTCTTTAAAATCTAAACACTAATTGCCCTCATGCGAAGTATGGGTACCCCGGAAATAAAGGAGAATGAACTCATCAATATTAAACGTACCTCCAATTGTTCGAATTTTCCTGTACCACTGACCACATCATCTGCAGTAGAGACTAGAGTGGAGGCACCCCAACCCACAGCTTTAGCTGCTGATAACAAGCCTTCAGTCCAGCGACTGTGTCTTTTGTAATAATCTGTAGCTGTTCCTCCAACCTGGACACAAGATTTGTGTTATAGAAATCATCTGTTATAACTTATAATCATTGGAAGCTTTAAACAGTAAAAACTACCATTGGGATGTTCAATGCTGCTCACTGTCGCATCTATCATTTTAACACTGTCATATTATCTTGCTATTGTAATTGCTTCAAAACTATAATATTATAATGTAGATGGATATCAATTCTATACCACACAAGATATTTAAAAATGTGCATCATATACTCCTGATTGTAGCGCTTGGTTTTGATGTGATCAAGGATGGTATATCCATTTTAAGATATATCGTCTGTACCTACAACTGAATCATCTCAAGATTTTTAAACCAGGAACTTCAAGAAGTTTGTTAGTATCTAAAGTAATTCTCGTCCATTGTCACTACAGCTTGTCACAAAAGAAGAAGAAAACAAGATGAAAGTTATTATGCGGCTCATGACGTCATGTACAAAGTGCTCCACTCAAAAAGTTGGTATGTTAACATGGAATGGTTCACATACCACGAAATAAAATGCCCAAAATATGCCGTACACAATATATCCGTATTAGGTTCGGTCAGAGAAATAAAGGAAACTGTAAAGTAAACAAAGTTTATAACAATTGTCAGTGCTAGTCAGTTACCGGTGTTTTCCCCTTGTCTCGAATGTCTTTAGTTGTCGACTGTTAGATACATTATAGTCAGTATATAAATTAAATAACAGTTCATAAAAAATAAGTAAATCTAAAGTAAATCGTGTGAGGTCTCCTAATTAATGTAAATTTATACGTAAAATATTCCATACATGAATTACTGGCGTGCGGCGGTAACCTTACTCAATTAAACAAGATATTTTACAATTATTAATGTAAAGCTTTATAAAGGAAGATATTTGACAAGTGTAAAGTTTAACTTGCCTGCCCACTTTGAACAATTTCTCTCTGCAACTCGGCGCTGCTCAGTATTAGTTCCCGTACACATGCCATTAGTTCGGTACAGGACCCTAGGATCTTCTCTCCGACCTGTGGAGCAGTGGGTTAGTGATAAATAGATTCAACACAATATTCAATAATGTGTCTTTAAAAAGATTATTTAATGAGGCTTCTGTGATTGAATTCTGCTGGATATTGGGTTTCTGATCAAATGCTCTGCTCAGCGTTGTTGTGTGTGATGTTAATTTATTATGGTAGAAATGTTGTGTTTGCCTTTAACATGATTCCGCATTCCTTATTAACGAATGCTCTAGAGAGGTTGGTAAAAACAAAGTCAATTAAACTAAAACACTTGACTTAAATCCTATTAATTAAATGTTGTTCTTTCAGGCTGCATTTCTACTGAAACTTTCTCGAATGAGAAAACTATCGGTCGATAAATATCGAACTTAATTTACCTACCCGGCCCAAGTGTTTATCATAATTAAAAGACCTATAAACGTCTTCTCCATCGTCTAGACATTGAATTTCGATGTTTTGATCTATTTAATTATTAAACGGTTTGACAAATTATACTGAATAATTAAATAAGAACCTCGAACTATAAATAACATAAAAATAAGAACCTCTAGTTCTAGACCAGTGTATCGTTGTCGAGTTGCGTTCTGAATCTCCTGTATCTTAGCTGCTGCTTCGTTAATTGCCGCAGTTGTTGCCTGCAGTAAAAAATATATTAGATATAAATCCGTGGGGTGGGTTGAGGTGGGGTGAGGTAGGTTGAGGTGAGGTGAGGTGAGGTGAGGTGAGGTGAGGCGAGGTGAGGTGAGGTGGATAAGGTGAGGTGAGGTGAGGTGAGGTGAGGCGAGGTGAGGTGAGGTGAGGTGAGGTGAAGTGAGGTGAGGTGAGGTGAGGTGAGGTGAGGTGAGGTGAGGTGAGGTGAGGCGAGGCGAGGTGAGGTGAGGTGAGGTGAGGTAGGTTGAGGTGAGGTGAGGTGAGGTGAGGTGAGGTGAGGCGAGGTGAGGTGAGGTGGATAAGGTGAGGTGAGGTGAGGTGAGGTGAGGTGAGGTGAGGTGAGGTGAGGTGAGGTGAGGTGAGGTGAGGTGAGGTGAGGTGAGGTGAGGTGAGGTGAGGTGAGGTGAGGTGAGGTGAGGTGAGGCGAGGTGAGGTGAGGTGGATAAGGTGAGGTGAGGTGAGGTGAGGTGAGGTGAAGTGAGGTGAGGTGAGGTGAGGTGAGGTGAGGTGAGGTGAGGTGAGGTGAGGTGAGGTGAGGTGAGGTGAGGTGAGGTGAGGTGAGGTGAGGTGAGGTGAGGTGAGGTGAGGTGAGGTGAGGTGAGGTGAGGTGAGGTGAGGTGAGGTGAGGTGAGGCGCAGGGGCGTGGCCAGCAAGTGGGGGGGAGCAGCTGTTTCCCTTAATTAAAATTAGTTGAAAAGAAAGGTAGTAGCGTGATGACTATTGGCTAAAGATACGAACAAATGACTAATATCAGTGTTTCCCCTGTTTGTTACTTTTGTTATGTTACACTTCAAGGCTTCCTCACGACTAGGACCATCGAGAATTGCAAATGTTTTACAGTTGATTTGCCGTTCAGCAAAGACGTGTACTGACACGTGACAGCCATTAAACAATCAACTTCAATCAGCAATAAATTAAATCCCATAATCACTGTCACGTGTCAAAACAAGTGTGGCTGCTCACCAATTACCAAGTCTACTAAAGCAGTGCTATAATTACGGTAACTATTATCAGTTGCAACTATCTAGTTGCAGCTGATAACAAGACATTCCGCTAATTAGCTGATAACATACCACCCTCTTGGGAATTACACATAGCAACTATATAATTGTACTGTGAAATTCAGATCTGTATATTCTGAGATATCAAGCATGCACAACACATCTTGACAGTATAACTCATAACATCATAACACATCTTGACAGCATAACACATCTTGACAGTATCAAAGAAGCCAGATCCTTCCATTTTCCCGGGAATTTCCCGGAAATCCAACGTGGAATTCTATTCTACAGTAAAAACTTACCGCCATCTCCTGATCCACGATATTATCCATGCTAGTCTCCTCCTTAGCACAAAGCTTAGCAACATCGTGTAGGGCAGCACACAGTTGCTGCGTCCTGCCCTCTACAAGTCCTGACAAACTGTCTTCTACTGTCAGCGACTGAAACGGTAATTGGGTAATTATATAATTGGGTAATTATATAATTGGGTAATTATATAATTGGGTAATTATATAATTGGGTAATTATATAATTGGGTAATTACACGGTTGATCAGTTGGCTGGTTAATTGAGCGACGCGGGTGGTTTATGGATTAGCTTGCCCACAAATCAAGACTACGATTTATGTATGATATTTTGCCTGTTTACTTCTAAGTTCTATGTTTAATACCCGTTCAATATATGTAATAATAAACTTTATGTGGTTTTCTAGCCGTGAGTTCTGCGAAAGTGTATAATTACTGATACTCAGTTCTACTACTGCTACTACTGTGATATAGATAATCTCTTGCAATCTATCATGCTATCGTGATTAGTATATTACTGTAGTTTCCAGACCAGATGGCTTCAACATACGAATATAATATATTCCAGCCTCATCAGATATAGCCCCACAAAGTCAAATTAGACGAATTAGCTAATATCATAATCTTAATATCATTCCACTGAGCTGATATATTATTATTTTTACTCTCACCATAAAATATGCTATATTTACCTCCTTAAGTCCTTGTGTTGTGTTGTTAACCTCCAAGGGTTTATATCTGTTTCATTTATACACTGTCGTTGAATCTACAGTGCTGATACCGCGAAACAGTTGCTAAAGTTCGTTGCACGCTTGAATGTTTCGGTATGTGACTTGATATTGATATATCAATGTTAAAGTTATTGTAGTTACGTTCGTAAATATGATACGCCGCCTATCTTTTGGTATGTAGCTCAATAGTGATGCTAACGTTGTAATGTTGATGTAGAACATATCAATGTAATAATTACCGCCTATATAATAATTATAGTAATTAAATTAATTACTATTAGGTCATTCTTATGAGTTATGGCTATTGTTTTGACTCTGTATCCTCTATCCATCACTAATTTTATGTAGAGCAATCAACAAACAATACATTATATAATATATATTACTTTTGACTGACAGACTGACTAATCTAACGTGTAAATCGAACAAGACTATTGTTACACGCTGTAATAATGATAATTATATAATCACATAATCATATAATTACTGATTACGCTCGAGTTACACTACTAACTTTACTCTATCAAGTCTGTGATATCAGCGATCTATTTCCTCAAAAGAGGGCACACAACCAGATCATATCAATAATTGCTAGATCGAACAGCTGCTTTAAGACTCTAGCTATCTGCTAATCTGTATTTATAAGTTCACTCCGTTCAGTTTGTAATCTCCAGAGATCTTTCAGTCTCCAGAAGGTATGCTCAACTATATTCCAAATTTAATCACCCACCCTCCCCAGCCCTAAACAATTACTAAATCCAGCTGACCCCAGATACTCCGTACATCATTATAATAGTGGCCCGGTGGTTGGGATCAAATGCACGTGCGCCGTGCAGTTACTAATCAACCCACGCACGTTACCATAGCAACCACCTACTTTAGATTATTCCTCTACCACATATTGGACCGGCTCACGTACATCATCAACCAGCTCATGTCCGATGAAGATAATCAGTTGTTGCGGTCTGATAACTCAGAAATAGCATCACGATTCTTTTCTAATTTCTCCTGACAAAAGAGAACATATTACATATGATATTAACATAATATAGCGCAATCACGAGGTCAGGAGAGCTAAGGAGAGAAAATAGAGAGAGGGAGAGAGAGAGATCGAGTGAAGTACTTTTCATAGTACTTTTCAAAGTTGATTATCGTATAATGCAGGGTACTGGTGGTAATCTTGAGATTACATGCTGTGTGTGTCAGGTGCATCTCTTTTCTAGAGAGCAACGCTCACTCCGCCATTATGTCCTGATTATGTGCACCCCGGGCAGGCCACCTAACCAGTGCTCTTATCTCCGTGGGACCCCTAATAATGAGGGGGCAGGCTACCTAACCAGTGATCTTATATAGTTGGTGTTTTCTTTGGTTTCTATTACATTTCTTAAGTGCGTATATATGATATATGTATATATATATCATAACCTTATAATGATGTTTAGCTCTGGTTGAATATTTTACCATTTGTTTAACTTTGACAATTGGCAACAAATTTTGCATTTTGAACTGGAAGGGAATAGGGATCTCCGCAATTACTATATCATAAAATATACATAGCGTTAAGAACACCTTCCCAATATCAATATGATTTCAGGGTATCTGAAGTAGATGTAATTTTCATCATGGACATTGGACATCTGAGAATCGTGCACTTCGTGGTGATAATATCATTGTAGCAAGATTAATAGCTTTTTTGTTAATACTAAACATTAATAATCTCCATATAAACTGCCTGCAGGCCTGCTTCTTAACTTCTACAGACTAAGATTGAAGTTGGCTGGTAGAAGCCAGGGTATTATTAGCCAGGGTAATATCTTATGTAGACTAGTTTGACATGCCTGTCATGTTCTAACTTTTCATTTAACACCATGCCAGCCACACATATTTGCAATATCTTTTCACAACTAGTTTCTAGACCAGTAAAAGTTCTCATTTAACACTACTTGATAATATATGCACGGGCTTGTAACTTGACTTAGGTAGTTATCGACAAATATTTAGTTTCTTTGACTTACAAATAATTTGTATCATTGTATAGATTTAGCCATGCTTGTCTCAGAACACACTGCCATAACTCTTGAAAACCTCGGATTGTCGATGAATTACCACATACTTGACTATTGCCACTGTAACTATTTAGAAGTCCGAATTCTATTCTTACGATTCACTGTCACGGTTCACTCTCCCTCTTCCTAACTGATGATGCTGATTTACCAGGTTACCATGTGCATTGTGCGAGTGGGAGCCCCAAACACTGGTGGTAATTCAATCAGGGAGCTGGCGAGTGGTGAAAGGGTAGTGCCCTCTTTCTTGTGCTATTTGTTGGTGTATCCTGTTGGTGTCGCTAACTCTTTGTTAATTTAACTGTGCCAAACCACCATTTGTAATAGTGCTAATGAGTACCGAGTAGTCACCTCTTTGTAGATCTTTCTTTGTAGTGATCTTGTTTTTGTAGGAGGGATTTTTTGCAAAGTAAAGGGTTCCGCACGGCTGATGAAGAATCAACTGCTTCATTTTTAAACATCTAGAGAGGCACATTCAGAAGTCAGACCTTTGGCAGTCATATAAAGAGTTTTAAATCTTCTTCGGAGTTTAGTATAGAGCTCCAAAGCTTAAGATACACTAAGTCGAGAGTTTTGGGGCTTCATTCGTTTAGTTATTATATCAGATCAGCCCTTAGATTGTTGAGTTTATAAGAGTTCGTCGCTATTTTAGATAGAACAGCACCGAAACGCGGCATTGTTGTGATTCCCCTTTATCGCAACTTTCAAGTTTCCCAAGACTGAAGTTTCCATGACAATGATTATAACTAAAATTTCCAGTCAAAACAAAGTTAAGAAGCGTCAAACGTTTTGGAGAGGGATCTAGTTGCAAGCTCCGTTTAACGTAACGCGTTTCTATGGAAACTTGTACTACCGAACTGTTAAACTGCTCAAAAACTAACGGGGACCTGATTTTTAAATAATTGACAACCAAAAAAGGAGCTGTTCTGAGAATTCAGTTCATATGAAAAAAGCTAACGGGGAAACTGTTTTAAAAATAATCTATTACCAAAAAAGGAGCTATTTTGAGAATTTCTCTTACGAATATGATTAGTTCATAGCAATTATTATAGACTTAAAACGATACTCTGGAGAGCCTAGTTGTGAGATTTAAATTTGAGAACCATATTCCAAGACATCATTTCAAAAATTCTTTTCATATTTTCTTTTATACATTTCGATTTGATTAGGGTTTCCCGAACGATTTATATTCCTAAAACGATTTATATTCCACAATAACAGGATTTGTAGAATATACAGTAAAACCCCAATTTACTGCAAACCCCGATTTACTACGGATGTTTCCTTTCCCCAAACTCTGTGTAGTAATTTCTACACAATAGCTGTGTTGAGCGGTTTTCGGTGGGGGAGGGTGGTCTAAAATGACAAAAATTGGTCTACGTAATAACAATGGCCGTTAACATTAGACCGTACATAACCTTGACATACTGATACACATTATGTTAGGGTCATTAAACATGTTTATGATTTGGCAAATGACTTGTTTATGATTTGGCAAATGACTTCATATTTGGAAAATACACAAAAATAATATGTTTTGGGACTTTTTCAAAACATTTTTCATAGGTATATAACAGTAAGCCTCAAATCTTGTCAAATGTAACAGATCTGTCGTAGAAAGTTTTCAAAGAAATGCTACGTGTGGGGGCAGCTGCAGGTCAAGTGCCGAGAGGCAATTTTAATGATGATGAAAATAAATGGAGTCAAAAGAACCGCGTTGTAGTACTATTATGAACATTGTCCACGTTTTAGCTATATATCGTATTACGTTTTAGCTTTATATCAGTTGTTTTAATGTTGTGTCAATAGGATCTTATTGCATTGTTTTTCTATCGTACTTGAAGGTTTTTATGCTTTTAAGATTATGGTTTCAGAGTTACAGATCTATTGCGACTAGTGTGATTTTTAGTTGTATGTTGAAACGCAGAAAGCCTCATAGCCACGTGCCTGCGAATATTCATGCCAAAAGAAAACAATGCGGACTAATGTTCTAATAATTATAACTAATGGGCATCTCGGATATTTAAGACAGCATAATTTAATTTTTGAGAGTATGAGAATCCCAACTCTGTTCAAAATAGTATCATTTGTCTAACTCTTCAAATTATGAGTTATCCACTCACATGAGTGAAAACTAACCATTATGGTTAGTAGCTCGTTGGGATAGTATAGGAATTCTGGTTCCTATAGTTGGGAATGAGGTAGTTTTCTGTTCACAGATCGCCCTCTAAACTTACAAGGAAATATTTCCTGTAAATCCTTGGTATATAAGCAACATTTGACAGAGCATAGTGTGGAGTGAGCTATGTGCCCATCCTTGGAGAACCCGGTGGATGTCCTTGCTGTACGGCAGTTTTAAACAAGGAACTGAAACCGAGGGGTTCCGTTCAGGCCCTTTACACTTTGTTTCTGTCTAGTTCTAATGTACCGTCACAATAGTGACTTTAATATATTATAACGGTTCTTATATACCGTTACAATAATGACTTTAATATCTATAAAGACAATTTCGATCGAAAGTATGAGTTTATAAAGTTTAAATCCTCATGCTTTCGTATTTCTAATTGAAGTCAATGCGTAACTTCCTAATCTCTGCTGGCAGGGGTGTACGAATGGGGGGCCAAATTCTAAATTCTTCGCGCCAAAGCCTGGATTTCAAAAAATTTTCGGGCAAGGACAAAAGGAATTTGCGGAATCTCGATTTTTCCCATTCTCCGCGACAAATCGCGATTTTTTCAGTTCTCTGAGGACCAAATTCGAGTATTTTCCTTTAAATCTGCGGGCCAAATATCACGTTTTCTAAAAGTATATGAAACCAATCACATCCAAATCCTTCCGAATGTATGTACAGACTTCAGAAAACCGAACAAATATTTTCGGCTCATAATGATCAGGGTAGCATGAAACATGAACAAAAATAGTTTCCAGAAAAACTTTGAATTCTGCCTCAGATATGTATGGTATCTGAGTATTCTTTCTTTTTGAATATTTAGTTTCAAGAATTAGTTAAGGTGAATAGTCATTAATGACGCAGGGTTGAGGTGGCATTGAGCTCAAGTCACTTCCCTATAGGCTATAAGTAGTCACCACTTGTCACCACTTCAAAAAGTTTTGACAAATATCAGCAAATGCACTTGTACTGCATAATCTATTGAAAGTTATAAATTATATATCTTTATTATTTTGTTTGATTATACCGTATTTATTGTCATATTAGATTATTGTATTTTTCGTTTGATTGTAAATGTAAGTCATGCGTATCTTTGACATTTACAGCAGATCGAATATTCACGATTTGTTTTGTTTTACATGCCTTTAGTTACAACTTTCAAAGTCTCTTGTTGAAAGTAAATAGTCAACAAAAAAAGATTTCGGAAATATATCTGTTTTATCTGTTCTTGTTCGCAACAATATCTTCAGATTAACCAACACTTGAGGCACTGGAAATCACCTGTTGACAAGTCCAACTCAACACTCATTAATTATTACTCCCTTTATCACACCAGATATTGAATAATAACCGATTAATTACATAATTACAGATTAATTAATTAACCGATCATAACAGTTCTACTAGAGCAATGAAAGTGGTAGACGTTTCAACGATAGAAACAGAGCATTTATCTGACTATCTGGATGTAAACAGTAACTGGTATACACTGTTAACAGTGTATCACGTGCTGATAACGATTCTATCTTTCTTTGGAAATGCCGGGGTACTATTCCTCTCGCACAGGTCCGTTACATTAATGAACCTTTAAACTTATCACTATTCGTAGAGGGTTAGTGATGAATATTTCTTGCAAGAAATACTATTTTATAAGCAAGTTAGTTCTGAACCTTCAGAGAAATAATTCTAAACTGAAACTAAACCCCAGATCCAATGCAGTCCCAGTGGACTGTGTATCCCTGGTCCTGGTAGAAGTGCTTGCAGCGCTACACATCCTCCTCTCCCTCACCTCCCTAATCTCCTCCAGTGCAACTCTCATCGCACAACGCTGGATACTCTCCCCACCCTGGTGTGCAATCCAAGGCTTCATCTCGTATGTCTGTGTGGCAACACAGCTCTACATTGTTTTCCTTTGCACGTGCTACAAAGTATACGCGCTGCGCCACCCTCTAGCCTCGCCCGGGCGAGTTATCCGCAGGTTCATCGTTATCTTAGTGGTAGTTATCCTCTCTGTAATGTTCACATCCATCATGGGAGAGCACTACTACTTCTCACCTACACTCTTATCTTGTAGACTCTCACATGAACTAGGCTCTACAAGCTCACTGCTCGTTCTGGCTGGTTTCTTCTTCATTCTACCTCTAATCCTTACCATTCTCTTCAATATCCTCGTGCTTGTGGACAGCGCTAAGAAGAGTGGCCGCTCAACCAGGCAGAGAGACAATGTACGGACAATGTTTGCAGTGTGCACGCTCAGTGCCGGGTGTTATCTCCCCATTATGGTGGTTTTCATGTACCAAACATCGCACACAGCCGCACCCTGGGTGGTGGTCACCGCAGTGGAGATATTCTACATCAGTACCTACGTGAACCCTTTCTTGTACGTGGCTATCAGTTCAGGGTTCAGGCGGTTCTTGGTAAAAGGGCGCCGCGCGGAACAAAGCCAGGACAATGGAGCAGGTACAGATCCAGAGGACACGATAACACAAGTTACTACAGCTCAGAAGATAAGGACGAGTACTGCGGAGGAGCTGAAACCTATCCCGACATCACGTGGTGCGTCACGTGGTGCGTCACCATCACCACCTCCTTTAGAGGCGCCAAAGGGAGTGTTTGCACGTGCGTACGATCAGGCTCTTAGGAAGAGTAGTGTTGCTACTGATTACGAGGAGAATTGGGAGTACTATTTCGCATCTTAGAGAGCAAGCTTCTACTTAATGTGAATACTATAAGCCAAACCAAGGCATCATTTAAAATAAAAAGTACAATCATCACGAAGCACCCGTTATCAGAAAACTAGAAACTCCAAAGCAAATAACACGTGATATCTAACAAGACAACAACAAGTCACGTGATATATATCGTACCTCAAGAGCTGTTACAAAGCTTGTGATCAGATCCTCAGTTTGTCGATGTAACAGATCGGCCTTGTCGCTCGCCAGGGACCCCATAGCAGCTCGGATGCACATGGCTACTTGGGTGAACTCTTGGGAGATCTGTTGTAGGTCTGATAACTTGTCCGCTGCTCGCAGTACACTCCATCTGAGAGGTTGTGTGATAATTAGTTAAGTAATTAGATGATTAACCAGATGATTTATTAATTAGCTTATTTATTTAGGAGTGAATTTAATTATAATTAATTTACTAATATTTATTACCTAGCACGATTGATGATTGATGATTATAATTATTGGGATATGGTTCTAGTTTGTTTTTAAAAGGTGACAATGATTCTGTGATATGATTGGTCAATACTAAAGTTATCATTGTCACGTGTCTAAAACCAAAACTGTTCAGCTTTCTCACTCACCAAACAACATTTCTGTGCGAGTTATGACTTAAAATGGTAGAGTGAACTTAAAACTAGTGATTGGATTGACTGATTTGAGTAGCTTATTGATAAACAATTATATTATTATGTGGATTCTTTTGGTGGTGATGTAGAACTAAGATTAGAAACTATAATTTGCATATTGTTGTATATCAATGTAACGCGAGACTTTGAGTAAATTGTACTGAAATCAATTAGTTGATTTCCGTTACTTTTTTAGTGGGCTGACAGGAGTAATAATCAAGTGATGGGCAATTATCACAGAAATTGTGAGAGATTTGTGTTGGTATCGGAGGGGGGTTGACTTTATATTGCGGACCTAGTATAGGAAGTACTGTATTTTCTGAGTTGTACATTTTAGGATTATATCATTTGAGAACGACAAATGTTAGAGTTTTCCTAATTTTACAGTGTGTCATGTGACGACTGTGTATAATGAAATTTTCCGCGCACCATTTTGTGAGATCAACACTTAAAATGAGTAGATTTAGACTTGATGGTGCTCCTATTCCAGCAGTAGGTTTAGCACATAGTTTTAAATGTAAATTTGAGCGTTTATAACCTCAGTTATTTACAGGATACATTCCTTTTAAAACCTCGTGCTGTACAAATATATGTACCTGAATTCGGAACTGCAAGTGTCGTATTACAGTGTAAAGTGTTGTACATGACCATATGTTTAAAACGTTGCAGTATAATTTAATGTTGGCAGTCCAAAACATGTGTTTTATTTTACACTGCTGTATATATTATCATGGCAACAACAGCATGATATTAATTCTGGCAGGCAAGCTTGCAGGGATATTTGTGCAGGAAAATTGTATCAAGTTTCATTTTCAAGCCAAGAATTCAAATATCAAACTTGTTTCTAGTACAAGATTTAAAATTGACTGAGAAGCCGACTGAGAAGCCGACTGAGAAGCTCACATCTTGATCACTTATCAGTAATATCTTCAATTCCACCTGGCTCAGCTATATCTAAATCTTACTTTTATCGAGCTCATCTCACTTGGAACCGACTTCCTCTTTCCCTTCGAGAGATTATCAGACCAGGTGTGTTTAAATCAGAACTTATTAAACACATCTGGAAGGAACATGTTTGTACTGCATCTGTAGATATTGACCCTAGTTCAGATCCTGACAATTCTTTTTCTCCTGACTACGGGTAGTGTATTTCTTTATTTCTCTATTATTTTTGTTTTTATTTTTATTTTTTTGAGGTACTCATCACGCATTTTTGCTTTATTCGGATACAATTTTGATTTAGTCTTTTATTATATATTCGATTATTTAAATTTTATCGTTAAAACTTCATTCCATTGGAAATATTACAAATCAGTAATTGAGAATTTTTGGGTTGTGGCAATTATTCTTAAAAACCTAGAAATGCCTCCTAAGGTCACAGCTCTTATTATTTGCCCATTTTTCTCCTTCTGCACTTGGGGCCCAATGTAATTGCTCGACTTTTCATCAGGTCTCTCGAGGCCTTTTGTTTGGTTATTTGGGTGTATTGGTGTCCCCTGATTGTTATCATCGCTGTACACTTGTCAAGGCATTTCTTGGTTTCTCTAGTCCATTTTTAGAAATTCTATACAAAATTGATATTGTAATAAATTCTGATGATAATAATTGAAAGATTTCAATAAAAAAAAGTGGGAATAAAATAGTTTTCTTAGAGAAAAGTTTTAAAAAGGTGGAGGGAGAACTTACAAAATATTTTGAATTCTATAAAACCTGCTATTCAACACATTTATGGGAAGGAAATTTGCCATTAGAAAGCAGCCAGCAATAGGAAAAACTGTTAATAAGGAATAGAGTGCCACAGAGTCAAGGAGAATACCAGACGGGGTAAAAATAAGGAATTTGGAGAATGTTAAACTTGCCCATTCTTTTTTTCCGAATCAGATGATATCTCAGTTAATAAGGTTCCTGTGTTTTTAGACTTTTCACTGAAATGTAACTCGAAAAACTTTATTAACATAGAACTAGACCGGTGCTGAAAGATGATACTTACGTGGACAAACTATGACTACTATCAACGTAAAAATGATTAGACGATAGACATAGATCCAAGATTGTGCTAGACAGTCGATCGTTGTTTAATAACTTTGAGAAATCAACACTTTACAATATGATATAATATCTAACATTTTTTTTTCACATCAATCTGATTTGAACATGTACTTTTAAAACTAGGTTTTGTAAAGGAAATTAGAAATTATACCTACGTAAGGCTTTAGTTTTAACTGATGGAAAAGTGTAAATTATCTTCCGTAACATCGTACGTACTTAATTAAGTAACGTTTATTTAGTGGGTTTTAAAATGTCTATTTGCTTATACCTGTCATGTATATAATATTTGTTTACATACTGCAGAATTTCGATTTAATAAATAGTATCGCATTTAATTAAAATTGCTTGATTATTAAATCAGCTGAAAAAGGTGACAGGTAATGCCAAATTCGGGAAATGATATTATGATACATACCTTTGGTTCATGACGACGTTTTTTACGATGTTGTGACAGTTGTCCGTGACAGCAGTACATTCCTCCAAACTACACGTCTGTGCACAGTCCGCCTGCAATTAAATTGTTAATTACTTAATTACTTAATTGTTAATTACTTAATTCATTAATTAAATTCTGTACATGTGAAGTCAGATCACCAGGATCTTTACAAGTGAGATTTGTGCACCAATTTTCACAATAACAGGCGGGTTTGAGGGCGTCAGACCGCCATTGGCAGATTTAAACGCGTTTTAAATCTAGATATTATTGTTTTATCATCTTTCCCTCTTTTTAACGTAATTAACTCGTAATGAATCAACAAATTTACACCAATTAACAATTTCCGAACAATTTTTAAATCATCGGAAAGGTAACAATTAACAAAACGAACATTGACAACGAAACAACAAATATAACTTGCATTTCTGGAAAGCTGGAAAAATGAATATTAATCTTCGTAGAAAATCTTTCAAAATAAACAGTGGGTCATCAAAGTCCTACAATATGAAGACTGAAGAGACAGAGAATCTGAGAGACTATTTTACCTTGTTAAGAATGTAAAGGTTCTTGTTCTGATGGTTCTTGATATGAGCTACACTGGCTAGAAAACACTCCACCTCCCCCTTACTTAACGTCTCCCTGGTTTTATTTAATAGTATAACAACTCAATAACAATTAATGGAATAAATATTTGTTCTGAATAAATAACCTTCAAATTTAATGTGACACAAATAATAGGCTATTACTATCAGGTTTTCTTAAAGTTTAAGCTGTTTAACTTTTAATATTTATCCCGGTGTTTACCCACAAAGACAGTGTAATAACTGTTCCACACAACAATTCCCTTACCGCTGTATAGACTGTTTCTCCTTCTCATGCTTGACATTAAGATCTGCTCTCTGCATCTCAGCCTTGTGCATCAGGTTAGTCTTATCCTTCTCCGCTCTATCCAGATCAAACTTCAGCTTGTCCGCTAGACGGCCAGCTTCCTTTGCTTGTTGTCTTAGCTGTTCTACGTTTGATACCAGGCTGAAGGGTTTGTGGGTGTAAACGTCAGATATTTATAACATGCTGTACGTTTTAACATTAAAAACCTAAAAAAAGCCTTTTATTTAAGGCATTAAAATGTTGCCACTTAGATTGGAAAATGTTCCAATCGTCCCCTTCTGTTCTCAAGTCGACAGATAAAAGTTCATATATTTTACCCTCTCAATATCTCAATATCTCAAGTCACAGAGTCACTACTATCTCGAAGAACAGGTATTTAGTTGTTACCTGGAATTCTCATGCTTGACCTCAGCGTTCTGCACTTGGAATGTTTCCCATTCCCGCTGTACTGCTTCGAATTTCCGTTGTGCTTCACTTTTGTCGGACTCTAACTTCAGAACTTGAATCTGAAAAGGGTTTGGGTTACACTTGATGGAACGTGTGGAATGGAAAAAGTGACTGGGAATTCTTGCCAAACCAACTTTAGGGCGGCTATAGAGTCAGAGTCAAAAGGAAGGAGTAGTAATTAAATTGATTGCAGATGATGGTGGTCAGTACAGAATATACTAATTAAGTAAAACAATGAATCACATCAAACATTCAACACTATTAAAATATTCATTAGTTCAATATAACAGAAGCACAATGTCTTGATTACAACCATACCAGTCTGTTCTCTAATTCTAAAATACAAACCTCTAAATTTCTCAATTGTTGAGAACTGCCAGTGTTTTTACTCTCAAGTTGTTGTGTAATGTCAGTTAACAACTGCTCTTGTGATTCCAAACTCTTCCTTGTCTCCGCATGCGATCTAATTAGGTTAATTAGATAAATGTTAATTTATTAACAAATAAATAATTAATTGATTACATTGAGGTCAGCAAATGCATCCTATTTGTCTTATATTCTTTTACCCATACATTATCCCCAATTATCACAAAACGTGAAGTAAAATTCCGTTGGCGTACATAATAAAGTGTGTGTTGTGTGAAAACTGGGACAGTCAGATAAATCTGATTGCCAGCTAAGCGTGCTCAGAAGTTCATAAGTTTATAGGTTCTCCATAGTAGCTTAATGTAAGAGGTGTGTAATGTGAGGGGTATGGAAGTTATTTTTGCATAACAGTGTATTATATCAAATACTCTATAAACCTGATAAGGTTGATATGTTCCTGCCGTAAGTTTCCGTACGCTTGTTTTAACTTCTCACACCGTTCCACACTATCCCGCCACCGAGCTTCCGCTTCTTCTAGACTCTTCTGCTGCTCCTCGCTCACTCCTGGACTTACTGAAACAGTCATTACTTGTGAAACAGTCATTACTTGTGAAACAGTCATTACTTGCGAAACAGTCATTACTTGTGAAACAGGGATTACTTGTGTAGTAGTTCTTGTATCGGTTTGGCATCCGTGGTCATATTGTGATATATTCTTGTGAAATGACAGTGGAGAAAAGTCAATTCTATCAGTCTTGTATTGTAAACTATCTACTTGTGCGTATGTAGTTGTACGACATACGTATACAGTATACTGAGAAACATTATTGATGATACAGTATTACTTGGTTAATAAGTATTGCTTAAGCAGTTAGCTTGGCACGTTATTTGAACATTTCTGGCAGTCATATTGTAAATATTACTTGTGAGCAGTATTACGTGAAACTATACTTTATGTCTACTGTGACATCCACTAATTATTGTGAAAACGTGAAGTAAAAATTCAGTTGCTGTACATTAATTAAAAGTGGTTACTGTGAAAAATACTGTGACAGTCATGAAAAATACTGTTCCAGTCGTTACTGTGCTCAGGAAGTACTAAAGTTTCATATGTGAACTTCTCATAGTAAACCCTTACTTATGATAAGGGTTATGTAAAGTCTTACTTGTGAACGTCATCTTGGAAACAGTCATTATTGTGAAACAGGTTACTGTGAAACATCATTATGTGAAATTCATACTTTGAAACATCATTACTTGAACGTCATTACTTTGAAACAGTCGTTTGTGCAGTCATATTTGTCCGTCCGTACTTGTGAAACTTCTCCAAACGTTAACTGTGAAACAGCATTACTTGAAACTTCATTACTTGTGAAACAGTCATTACTTGTGAAACAGGGATACTTGTAAACAGTCATTACTTGTGAAACAGTCATTACTTGTGAAACAGTCATTACTTGTGAAACAGTCATTACTTGTGAAACAGTCATTACTTGTGAAACAGTCATTACTTGTGAAACAGTCATTACTTGTGAAACAGTCATTACTTGTGAAACAGTCATTACTTGTGAAACAGTCATTACTTGTGAAACAGTCATTACTTGTGAAACAGTCATTACTTGTGAAACAGTCATTACTTGTGAAACAGTCATTACTTGTGAAACAGTCATTACTTGTGAAACAGTCATTACTTGTGAAACAGGGATTACTTGTGAAACAGTCATTACTTGTGAAACAGTCATTACTTGTGAAACAGTCATTACTTGTGAAACAGTCATTACTTGTGAAACAGGGATTACTTGTGAAACAGTCATTACTTGTGAAACAGTCATTACTTGTGAAACAGTCATTACTTGTGAAACAGTCATTACTTGTGAAACAGTCATTACTTGTGAAACAGTCATTACTTGTGAAACAGGGTTTACTTTTGAAGGCATTGCGACGCTGTAAATTTTATAAGAGGTTTTGACTGCCTAGGCATCAAACCTTGGCAGTCGGTAATTTTCCTCTGGCCCGGAGTCAGCTGACCCTAGGGACCAGAGGATAAATAACGTAGATAATGTGTGTATCTACACAAGTGGTTGTTTTCACAAGAGACAGGGCTTGCAATTAAAGGGAAGAAATACGGGAGAAATAATCACAAAGTGTATTTATTACATAATTCAGCAAATAGAAATTCAAAAATCTTACACTACAATAAATGTTTATTATATAATATAATGTAATATCATTAATATTCTTAATCTAGGATATAATATAAAAGTTGCCTTCATTGCCGCTGTGAAACACACGTGACCACGCTAGGTATCTTCGTGTTATTTATGTTTCGAGAGCCTCGACTTATTATGTTCTCTATATTTTTATTAGCAAACAACCAAACCAAGAAAGTTTGCCGACTTGCTCGAACATACTCCTGCATATTATTATATTTCATCAGTTACCATGCTCAAATCAACTTTTCATCGGTTATTACGCTAGAGAATCGTCAACAACTAATGCAGGACTTTTTGCGGCACTAAATATTAGAATCTCCACAGCTCACTATATTTACTGAACACGTAAAAGGATGACGGTTGACATAGCAACGCCTTTAGTGGTTACTCGACACCGTGTATAACATTGTATTGGAGGAACTGATTAATAGGATTGAGAGTAGCAGGATGTGATGTTCAGAGCCGGGATGACGTATATCTATGACGTATTATATATATTATATATGACATATATCTATGACGTATATCTATGACGTATATCTATGATCTGAGTGACGTAATCTTTTGATCTGTTTTCTGGTGACGGAACAGGATAATTTAATAATTATTAATGTCCTATTTTCAATTACACGTCCTAGCTTGAGATTAATTAGAGCATAATCTGGTAGAAGAAATCGTTAAGGCCTATAAATGTCGATGCATCGAACTAAATTTCGATTATTCTTCAATCATCAATATTTGTGGGTGACCCCCTATTATCTTATCTAGTGTAATTAATGAATTCTGTCAAACTCCATTCGGATGATATTTTGTCAAACAGTTTAACTCGCAAACATTTCTGTGATGATATTGTTGTGTTAAACAGATATTACTACGCATCAAAAACGCATATAAATCTCATGAAGTGAGCTAGCTGGCAAGAGTTTTCTTGCAGATCTGGCCAACTGGTGAATAACATGAAATTTTGTATCTACTAATATTGTAACTCACACAGAAAGGCTGCAATAAGGAGTACTCATACTCTATATATACTACTGGGACTCAAACCAATACTGCTTGTTCATTCATATCACTGTTGCTAACTCTATATATCAATAGCTGTTAATTACTTAGGCTTGGTTGATTTGTCCGTGAAACTCACACTGTAGAATTACGCGTATTTAGTGAAGAGCCTATTTACTACTACTACTGTAGTAAACAACACAGGAGTGCACATCAGTACTGATAGACGTATTTCATAGTCCATAAGTCACTAGAGTATTACATATGGGATGTTAACTTACTGTAGACTTTGATTGTTATTTGTCACATACACTAAATCTATACATTAGTTGACGGTGAACCCTTTGGTCTAACAAAGCCCCTGTGATTACAACGGGCACTGTTTGAGGTGATCAACAATAATGTCAGATTAGATGTCAAGCGCGTTAAGTAATATATTAATATGTCACATAGATGTCAATGTCATTTCAAGTGAATGACATATGTTGATAGATATTCTAGTACGACGAGATTATATAGTTAATTCATGTTGACTTAACACGTATCCAAATTATTCATTTACTTGAATGGTGTGAAATCGCTTTAATGGATATAAATATGCCGAAATTTATCTTACAAGGGGTGCCATCAAGTGTTTAAATTTAAATTAAAACCACATTAACAAATGCCTTCATGACATTTATTTGAAAACGAATTTAACAAGCATATATTTATGTTGCATATAAGAAAGTCCCGATAATCGATATCCGTATAAGATAACTGCAATCTAATATAGGTCGTGCATGTCAAGTGAGGTAGTATTTTTTTTTTGAACCAGATCACTTGATGCGACATTCTTATTATAAGGACATTTGAGTGACGACGGTCTAACTTACATGAAGTGTTATTTTGATGTACATGACCTGATTTACTCAGTATTCACGTGACACAGTGTACACATGCACATGCAATTTAATAAGCGAAAGGATGACCAGTTGACAGGAGTTAACTTTCTTAGCTTTGGATTGTCCATAACAACTTTGAATTGCGGTAGGCAACCGATTACAACGCACGATACAAAACTGGATTGGCTCACGTTGCAAAGCTGGTCACCATGCCCTCGTTTATTGATATATATCTAATTAGATTTATATTGAATCAATTGCAAACAATCTAAATTATGATAAAGCTTTGGGTTTAGAATGCATTAAGCGGCTCGTTAATAATTACACATAAAATCTATTACTTTTTGAGGAACGATTAACGAGTCATATATTTAGTTGCCATGGGGTGCAGTCCCTAAGGTCGATAGTTACGCGTCTAATAAGTCGTTCATGTCTATTGAGGAATATATTTACAGTACACTGGCGAAGTGTATGTTAAGGATGAGGAGGGACAGTTACAGAAGTGTAGTAGGTACATGCTGTACGTCACGTGTGAACAATGTACTGATGGCAAAATTCAATATCTGTAGAGTGTAGACAGTACTTATGGTAAAGTTAAACATCCCAATATGTAGCTAGAGTGTACAGTAACCAGCAACTTCCAGTCTACATGAGTTCATACTTCTCTAATTCTGCAATTCCAGTTCTATTATAATCTATTAATTATCCTAGTATTTAGTTGGTTAGTTTATCTCAAGTACTGAGGAGTGAGGAGACTAAATAAAACGCATCTTCTACGACTCTTCACTATACCAAGTCAATAAAATAGACGAACATGAATCTGAGTACTCGTGAGTCGTGACCACTTTATTCTCTCATAAACATGTCACGTGACCAGTCACTGACCACCTTATTCTCTCATAAACATGTCACGTGACCAGTCACTGACCACCTTATTCTCATAAACATGTCACGTGACCAGTCACTGACCACCTTATTCTCTCATAAACATGTCACGTGACCAGTCACTGACCACATTATTCTCATAAACATGTCACGTGACCAGTCACTGACCACCTTATTCTCTCATAAACATGTCACGTGACTAGTCACTGACCACCTTATTCTCTCATAAACATGTCACGTGACCAGTCACTGACCATCTTATTCTCTCATAAACATGTCACGTGACTAGTCACTGACCACCTTATTCTCTCATAAACATGTCACGTGACCAGTCACTGACCACCTTATTCTCTCATAAACATGTCACGTGACCAGTCACTGACCACCTTATTCTCATAAACATGTCACGTGACCAGTCACTGACCGCCTTATTCTCTCATAAACATGTCACGTGACCAGTCACTGACCACCTTATTCTCTCATAAACATGTCACGTGACCAGTCACTGACCACCTTATTCTCTCATAAACATGTCACGTGACCAGTCACTGACCACCTTATTCTCTCATAAACATGTCACGTGACCAGTCACTGACCACCTTATTCTCATAAACATGTCACGTGACCAGTCACTGACCACCTTATTCTCTCATAAACATGTCACGTGACTAGTCACTGACCACCTTATTCTCTCATAAACATGTCACGTGACCAGTCACTGACCACCTTATTCTCTCATAAACATGTCACGTGACCAGTCACTGACCACCTTATTCTCATAAACATGTCACGTGACCAGTCACTGACCACCTTATTCTCTCATAAACATGTCACGTGACCAGTCACTGACCACCTTATTCTCTCATAAACATGTCACGTGACCAGTCACTGACCACCATATTCTCTCATAAACATGTCACGTGACCAGTCACTGACCACCATATTCTCTCATAAACATGTCACGTGACCAGTCACTGACCACCTTATTCTCTCATAAACATGTCACGTGACTAGTCACTGACCACATTATTCTCTCATAAACATGTCACGTGACCAGTCACTGACCACATTATTCTCTCATAAACATGTCACGTGACCAGTCACTGACCACCTTATTCTCATAAACATGTCACGTGACCAGTCACTGACCACCTTATTCTCTCATAAACATGTCACGTGACCAGTCACTGACCAC